CAGTTTGGGTTTTCATCAAGAGAAGCATTTTTGTAGGGGAAATTCTGGACCAAAAAAAAAAAAAAAATGTAACCAGAGGAAATGTAAGTGTGGATAAGCCCAAAGACATAACAAACGGGATAAAAGATGCCGTATGTGTCTTTTAAATCCAGGAACCACAAACTGGCTTTAACACCACCTAGTGGGAGCCCTGTGTCAGTCCCCAGGGATGACAGTCCTCTTCTATTTTTGCTCAGGCTGTATGGGGTCACAATAAATATAGCCATATGCTTTCTCACTAGAACAAAGCTTATTTTTGTGGCGAATAGAAAGATAAAGAGTTGCCAGGTCTACCATGTTTAACTTTCATGACTGGTGCTTAAGAACATCACAGCTCTCAGGAACTCTGTGGATGCAGCTCTGAGACCAAAGTGCCTAATATTTCATATTTTGATGAGGCAACTCCACAGAGGAAACTGGAAGCAGCTCCCCTCATTTCCAGAGCAGTCCATGGACATAATAAGTTACCCTCTTTTTCTTTTTCTTTTACCTTGACCTTGTCATTCAAAGGCCCTCTGTAAATATGCCCTCAACAAAATGAGTCTGTTGACCCCAAGCCCTCTTCCACCACTTCTCAAATAGATTTCATATTACAGCCCCCACAGCTTGTAATTCAGTCCAGTTCCTTTCAGCCAGCAGCCTCTTTCAAGGAGAGATTTTTTGTGCCTCACTTAATATGGAAGGTTTATTACTTCTTTTATTTTTACAGGCTCCCTCTTCTACCCTCTTATTCCTGGGACCAGCCATCCCGATCTGTCCTGCCCTGACAGTTTTCTCTGCCTGCCTTCCGTGAACAACAAACAATATGAGCTGATTGAAAACAGCATGCAAAAATGCATGATGTAAGAAGAAATTGCTTTGCAAAAATATGTATTTTAGACAAAATCTCATGCAAAGATGTGTTGATTAGGAAGAGGGGAAATCATGTGGTGGGAAGGAGGAAGCAAGTGCAGACCTGGAGACCTAGGAGTAAGGAGGGCTTCTTGTTTGCAGCACTTAAATGAAGCTGCTTCTGTTTGAGCTTGCCTGAACTGCCTGGCATTCATTTATAAGAAAGGCAGCCTTGTGGGACAACAGCACAAGGAAGCTTCTGCATGTCTTTCTTTTGCCCTTGAATAAACTTTACGCCTTTGTTGTGGGGTTGTTTTGACAGCTGATTAGCAGGGGCAACATTATTGTACACCCTATTGCAGGGGTCAGCAAACTTTTTCAGGAGGGGGCAAGTCCACTGTCCCTCAGACCTGTGGGGGGCCAGACCCACCACCTCCCAAAAGCACCCCCCTGTGGCGTTTGCCTGTTCTTTTGGAAATGTCTGTACAGGGGGAGAGAAAGGGTTAATAGGTAGACCAATAGAAAAGCCAGAGGCGGAGCCTACCTGTTTATAAAAGGGCTTAGCCCGAGGTTAGTTAGTTTTAGTTGGTTGGTTGGTTGGTTGGTTGGTTGGTTGGTTGGGAAAGGCAGTTGGGAAAGCAGTTGACAGTTGGAAATAGAGAGACAGTTAGTGCAGTTGGTTCTTGTGTGAGGGGAGGTAGAAGAGTTAGAGACAGGATAAAACAAGACTAAGAAGGTAAAGAGTAACAACGCTTTGAATGCAGTTCAAGTTTAAAATAAACTACACTCTTCTTTGTAGGATTTACCGATCGGAAGGTCGGCGGTTCGAATCCCCGTGATGGGATGAGCTCCCATTGCTCAGTCCCTGCTCCTGCTAACCTAGCAGTTCGAAAGCATGTCAAAGTGCAAGTAGATAAATAAGTACCACTCCAGCGGGAAGGTAAACGGCATTTCCGTGCCCTGCTCTAGTTCGCCAGAAGCGGCTTAGTCATGCTGGCCACATGACCCGGAAGCTGTACGCCGGCTCCCTCAGCCAGTAAAGCGAGATGAGCGCCGCAACCCCAGAGTCTGGACCTAACGGTCAGGGGTCCCTTTACCTTTACCTTTACACTCTTCTTTGTTAACTTAAGAACCTGACTGAGACTTAGTGATTTACCGGGGGGAACCTGGTTGGTGGCAGCAGATTAGTGGTCAATAGTCCGTGAGACAACCAGGGGCTCCATACGAACACCACACCCCACTCCCGAAAGGCCTCCTCACCTATGCCACTCACGTTGCAGCCGCCAACGCTGCCTCGTCTTCGGCAGCATCAGCATCCTCTGTCTCAGCATGGCACAGAGCCCATGCCGCTGGCCTGGATGGCGGAGGCAGCCTCCACGCCAATGCAGCTTCCTTCCTGCTCGGCCGCCTCAGCGGGAAGGAAGGGGTGATGCCCAGAGGTGTCCGTGGCTTCTGATTGGCTGCAGGAGCTTCCTGCAGCCAATCAGAAGCCGTGCCGTGCCACATCGCGGAAGTCAGTCTCTGCACAGCGAGGCCTTTGGGGATTGACCGAGTGGGTGGCAGGGTCCACAAGGTTCACGGGCCGTATTAACGAGCCCGGTGGGCCATATCCGGCCCACGGGCCTTAGTTTGATTACCTCTGCCCTATTGCAATTCTTAAGATAAGTTTCTCCTTTGGACTCCTGACAAATGTTTTCCCATGGTCAAAGAACTTCCTTGAGCAATACAGTGCCTTTCACATCCTTGTGGCCTGCTCTGCCAGTTTCGTATCTACATCCGAAGGCTGGCAACAACCCCACCTTATCGGAGTCCCTTGCAGACAACCACAGTGCCTGGAGACAGACAGTCAGGTTGTGCATTCTCAACAGTGGCCAGAGAAGGAATGACTGCTGGGAGGAGCGCAGAGAGAGAAAATGTCATGACATATCTGCATCAGCAAAACCGAATGCCTTCATCTGCCCCAGCTGCAACAAAACATGTCTCTGCTCTACAACAGAGCTTTCCAAACTTTTCATGTTGGTGGCACACCTTTCAGACATGCATCGTTTCGCGGCACAGTAATTCAGTTTTACTAGCAAACCAGAGGTTAAACTAACCCCTTTACAGCCCCGGGAAGAGAGCTTGTGCAACACACCTACACACTGCAGCTGACACACTAATGTGTCGCGACACACTGTTTGGAAAGCTCTGTTCTACAGCCACAAAAGGTGCTGTGACTCTCCAGCAGTTTGACTTTACCCCTGAAGGCACACTCTTCCGTTGTCTCCCGAGACAGACAGATGCCAACAACAAACCACCATATTTTTAAACTACTCCATCAGAATGATTTGCATTGCTGTTTCACGCTGGACAGAATTAGGCAGCCGTAACCCTTTTAAGGAAAAAAATTAAAAGAGTAAGTTGTGTAATTCCTAATCGTTTCACCACACCTGGGAGATCTGTTACAGCTAAATGGCGGGCAATGTCCCTGTATAGCCTGTATTTCTGACATGTCAACATCCAATTCTAGAGCCTTGAAAAGGCTACGGCAATAAGAGCAGGAGTAGGGAACATTCAATAAGTGAATTCCCTTTTAGGCAATGTGTGAGCAGTGATTCCAGTGTGGTTTTAACACTCAATCCCTCTCCCCAGGGAACGCCAGACTGTTGCTCTGTAAGGGGCATAGGAATCAGAAACAAGGATTCTTTGGCAGAAGTCATGATTGTTTAAAGTGGTGGTTGTTGTTGTTGTTTAGTCGTTTAGTCGTGTCCGACTCTTCGTGACCCCATGGACCAGAGCATGCCAGGCACTTCTGTCTTCCGCTGCCTCCCACAGTTTGGTCAAACTCATGCTGGTACCTTCAAGAACACTGTCCAACCATCTCGTCCTCTGTCGTCCCCTTCTCCTTGTGCCCTCCATCTTTCCCAACATCAGGGTCTTTTCCAGGGAGTCTTCTCTTCTCATGAGGTGGCCAAAGTATTGGAGCCTCAGCTTCACGATCTGTCCTTCCAGTGAGCACTCAGGGCTGATTTTCTTCAGAATGGATAGGTTTGATCTTCTTGTAGTCCATAGGACTCTCAAGAGTCTCCTCCAGCACCATAATTCAAAAGCATCAATTCTTCGGCGATCAGCCTTCTTTATGGTCCAGCTCTCACTTCCATACATCACTACTGGGAAAACCATAGCTTCAACTATACGGACCTTCGTTGGCAAGGTGATGTCTCTGTATGATACTGCTTTAAATGGGAACATTGTTTTACCTGGAGCTCTCTGTTGATCCAGACAGCAGAACTGGAACCAAAGGGTGGAAATGGCCAGGAAGCCGATTCGGGCAAACATTAGCAGAAACTTCCTAATACTGAAAGCTGCTTAACAATGGAAGAGATTACCTTGGTCCTTCGCTGGAGGTGTTAAACATCTGTTGAGTTGCGGCAGTTGCATCCCGTGTGGCAGATCCTGTAGGGAGTTGGACTTGATCTCCGGAGTCCTTTCCAATCTTGCATTTCTACGACATTCCAAGGCAAGATTTGAGCACAAGGAGATCAAAGTGTTCTGGGATGAATGATTTGTTTATCCCACTGCCTTTGTTTTGCACTCCTTGGGAGTTCTTCTGGCGACATTTGCAACGAGCAACTTTGTCTAAACCTGGGTGATCTGACAGCCTCTGAAACGACAATGTGCAGTTTCATGAATATTCAAGAGATGTCACCGGTTTCATCTAGTGATGCAGAACACCTGCCATCTGATTTCTTTAAAATGACAATAAATTGCTCTTAAAAGAAATGAAGTTTCTTGATCCAGGATTGAATTAGCCTATATTTATTCTAAGGTGGCTAAACAAACTGCATTCGCATTATCAGTGACCTTGAATAATTTGGGGCAGCCATTACAGTTGTCGTACAATACAGTCAGATGAATCGCTCCACTTAACTACCACGGGGTCCTTTTAGAGCACACAGATTTATTGCAGAGGGACCTGTATTAATAGTCTCATTTTATGCCTGTATTTCTTAAATAGTTTCTAAAGTTTGAGCATCCTCAAAATCCAACAAGGAGGAGCCTTACATTTGAGACTCTGGAATCCCCTCTCCACAGAGATGTGTTTAAGCATAATACTGTTCACATTTCCATTCCACCTTAAGGAACAGGCATGAGATTGTTGCATGTCACATGTCTCTTTACATTCCAGCACAGTATGCTGGGAACTTCCGTTTGTGTATAGCTTTTGCTGTTCTCTCCGAGACAACATGAGAGAGAGGTGACATGTTTCTTTGTCCTGATTTATGTTTAATAAATCTGTAGCCGTAATATGACTTCACAAGCCTCACACCTATTCTGTGTGCGCAGTACATTCTGCTAATAGCGTGCCCTGGCTTCTCAAGTCCAGGTCGCTGATTTACGTCGGAGCATGGGCCGATGGAAGGAGACGGCACAGCTGGGGCTTATCAGCTGGCCTCCCGGCCCTCTGCATGTCAACAAATACTTGTTGCATAAAGGTAAAGGGACCCCTGACCATTAGGTCCAGTCGTGACCGACTCCAGGGTTGCAGCGCTCATCTCGCTTTATTGGCCAAGGGAGCCGGCGTACAGCTTCCGGGTCATGTGGCCAGCATGACTAAGCCGCTTCTGGCGAACCAGAGCAGCGCACAGAAACACCGTTTACCTTCCTGCTGGAGCGGTACCTATTTATCTACTTGCACTTTGACATGCTTTCGAACTGCTAAGTTGGCAGGAGCAGGGACCGAGCAACGGGAGCTCACCCCGTAGCAGGGATTCAAACCACCGCCCTTATGATCGGCAAGTCCTAGGCTCTGTAGTTTAACCCACAGCATCAAATGCTTAAGATGTACTTAATTACCTTGGCTTTTGACCTGTACCTATTTACCTGGCTCATTTCTAAACCCAATTCAAGGTGCTCACATTGGTGTTGAAAGCATTAAACGACTAAGGCCCCAGGTATTTTAAAGACTGCTTCCTTCCCTATAGACCCTCTTGGGTGTTAAGATCAGCAGAGGAGTCCCTCTTGCTAGTTCCACAGTCACAGTCACCAGAAATTGGGGTGGGCTGGGGAGACAACATTCTCTGTTGCAGCCCCTAAATTGTGGAATTCCTGCTCCACAGAAGTGCATCTGTCATCTTCATTATACAGTTTATTTCAAAGAATTGTAGAGTTGGGATCACAAGGGTTATCAAGGCCAACCCCCCAGCAATGCAGGAATCTTTGGCCCAACACGAGGCTTGAATCATGACCCTGAAATTAAGGGTCTCATGCTCTACCGACTGAGCTATTCCAGTATGTTGAAGAGGCACCTCTTTGCCTTAGCTTTTGATGCTTGAGATATATTCCCTTGATTGTAGTCTGCTTTAAAGTTGTATTTTAAAATACTGTGACCCATGCAGGGAACTTAGGATGAAGGGTATGGAATCGTAGATCACAGGGTGGTTCACAACATAAAAATACGAAATGAGAACACAAAATACATAATAAAACAGAAACTAACCAATAACCCCCCTCCCACAAACACATTTTAAAGGCCATAGAATGTTTAACCATCTAAAGATCCAGAAAATATATTCTTATTTCATACTGCAGGCTGTACTTATGTAAGAGGAAGCAAATAATCTCTAAAAAGACGGTTCTCAGGACCTCACTAAAATTTCCAGGATTAGGATATTTAAATGGGTAAAAACTGAACTAAATTTGTTGAGTTGTGTGTATTTATAGTAAAGATGCACATGAGTCCTGTCCTTTCAATCAGATGGCACAGAAGCAAAAGCTAGATCACCCAAACTGTACACAACAGAGCACTTGTTAATATTTATTTTTCTGGGGAGTACAGTTGAGCTCAGTGGAGAACAGGCACCCTCCTCTACGAGTACAGAAATAGTCTGGAAAAGTTTCAGCGTTCAGTCAGCTGTTTCAGATAACAAGTGCTACCAGGATAGGAAAAGAACAGAGGAAGTTTTACAAGGCTCTCATTCAGCCCATGTTTCAGGAGGGAGATGAGGCAAACGGATGTTCTGTATCGTTTATAGCCTGGGGCTGAAGAGGAATATGATTCTGCAGAGGGCGGGGAAGATTCATATGGGACAGAAGATAGAGGCATCTGAAAAAGCTGAGTGGTGATCTTTAACTCTATGGACACTCAAGAGGGCCCTGAAACATATTCAAGAGATAAGTTCGGCTGTTCATGGTTTCCCCCACTTCAGCTGATTATGCTTGAGGAGCAAGTGACACAAAATAATCGGAAGATCATAGAATCATAGAATAGAATCATAGAGTTGGAAGAGACCACAAGGGCCATCTAGTCCAACCCCCTGCCAAGCAGATTATTTATGTCTTGAACCACAGGGTACCTGGCAGCAAGTCCTGCTGGTGTACACAGTTCCGCAGCAGAGTCTGGCAGGCTTGCAGGCGCAAAGTCCAGTCAGTTCACCTCTGCGGCCAATCAAGGTGCCAGGGCATCTGAAGGTCAGTCCCACATAAGCACAGTCCCAAAGAACTCCGTGGACCATCCAAGTCATGGTCCAACCAACGTGGGACGTTGAGCAGACACAGCCCCTCAGCTCTGCTTCCCTTTTTTCCTTCACTGAGGGCAGCATCTGGGCTTGACGAGGCATATAGCCCTCACCTGAGCCTACTCTGAGCTGCAGAATCGCACACCTCCTCCCAGAGCTAACAAGCCCCACCTGGGCAGCTGTGGACGCTTGCCTGCCTCAGCCTCCTAGAGCAGGGGTCAGCAAACTTTTTCAGAAGGGGGCTGGTCCACTGTCCCTCAGACCTTGTGGGGGGCTGGACTATATTTTGGAGAGAAAAAATATGAATGAATTCCTATGCCCCACAATTAACCCAGAGATGCATTTGAATTAAAAGCACACATTCTACTCATGTAAAAACACGCTGATTCCCGGACTGTTTGCGGGCCGGATTAAGAACGCGATTGGGCCGGATCCAGCCCCCGGGCCTTAGTTTGCCTACCCATGCTCCCTACACCTCAGGGCCTGCCATGTTCATGGAGATGGGGGGCCCTCTGGCTCTGGGAATGGGTCCTGCTTCTCTGGTTCCTGTGCACTGACCCAAATCCCCTCACCATCTTCCATTGCCCCATATTTTCTACACCAACCTTCTCCATCCCCAGCTTGCCCCATTGTGTCCCAGTCACAGCTATACCCCTTGCTGGGATCCTCTTCCTCCTCCCTGCCAGTTCATGCCACTTAATTATTACCCTCCTGTACACTTAGCTGTCCTGCTGCAGAGAATACAAAAGGGGAGCCAGTTCTAAACATGTGCTTGTTCAGATCTCCTAGCCTCTTCTTTAAGTGGGTGCAGAACCCCTAAGAACTTTTGTTAATCCAATCTACACATGCAGGGGAATCATATTATGATGCACTTTCTGGGCTGTACCACTTCAGACTTGCCAGTGGTGGGCCATGTGTCCTACCTTACAGAGGACAGCTCTACTTGAGGGATCCTCTATTTGAAGGGGGGCTCAAACCAAGCATGCCTGAACCAAGTGGGATCAAACTTCTTGTGCATAATAATAATAAATAATAATAATAATAAATTATTTATTTATACATACCCCACCCATCTGGCTGGGTTTCCCCAGCCACTCTCGGTGGCTCCCAACAGAATGAAAAGCACATTAAAACATCAGACATTAAAAAACTTCCCTAACAGGGCTGCCTTCAGATGTCTTCTAAAAGTCAGATACAGTGGTACCTCTGGTTGCGAACGGGATCCATTCCGGAGGCCCGTTCGCAACATGAGCAGAATGCAACCCGCATCTGCGTGTGCGCTGGTTGCGATTCGCCACTTCTGCACATGCGTGTGACATCATTTTGTGTGTCTGCGCATGCACGAGCGGCGAAACCCGGAAGTAACCCTTTCAGGTACTTCCAGGTCGCCATGGGAGGCAACCTGAAAACGCTCAACCTGAAGCAAAAGTAACATGAGGTATGACTGTAGTTGTTTATTTCCTTGACATCCACAGTCAAGGATGTCTACTACCGAGAAGTCCCTCTGCCTGGTTCCCTGTAACTTTGCTTCTCTCAGTGAGGGAACCAGCAGAAGACCCTCGGAGGACGACCTCAGTGTTCGGGCAGAACGATGGGGTGGAGACACTCCTGGGCCGAGGCCATTTAGGGCTTTAAAGGTCAGCACCAACACTTTGAATTGTGCTTGGAAACATACTGGGAGCCAATGTAGGTCTTTCAGGACCAGTGGTATATGGTCTTGGAGGCCACTCCCAGTCACCAGTCCAGCTGCCGCATTCTGGATTAGCTGTAGCTTCCGAGTTGCCTTCAAAGGTGGCCCCAAGTGGAGTGCATTGCAGTAGTCCCAAGCGGGCGATAACTAGAGCATGCACCATTCGCGAGACAGTCTGTGGGCAGGTAGGGTCTCAGCCTGTGCACCATAATTGACCTGTGCATCCTCTGAGTACGTTGTGCTCAGAAACGTACTGGGAGCCAATGTAGATCAACTGCTTCATAAAGGTAAAGGTAAAGGGACCCCTGACCATTAGGTTCAGTTGTGGACGACTCTGGGGTTGTGGCGCTCATCTCGCTTTACTGGCCGAGGGAGCCGGCGTACAGCTTCCGGGTCATGTGGCCAGCATGACTAAGCCACTTCTGGCGAACCAGAGCAGCGCACGGAAACGCCATTTACCTTCCCGCCGGAGCAGTACCTATTTATCTACTTGCACTTGATGTGCTTTCAAACTGCTAGGTTGGCAGGAGCAGGGACCCAGCAACGGGAGCTCACCCCGTCGCGGGGATTCGAACCGCCGACCTTCTGATCGGCAAGTCCTAAGCTCTGTGGTTTAACCCACAGTGCCACCCGCGTCCCTTCATAGGTGAGGGTTAAATCCTGCTTCTTTTGGCTATGCCAATAAGTTCCTCAGTTGAACTGGCTGATTTGCCCCCAAACCCTGAAGAAAGCAGGATTGTAACAGACAAATGTATCGGCTGATGCATAGGGGAGTTCCATTGGACAGTTCCTGCTGGGAATAAATAAATATTACATCTGACACTCAACAGCCTTTCTCGGCTAAGGACGAAAAGTAAGGGCCCTGAAGAACAAGCCGCTCTTTCACCAGTCACAAGTATTGACAAAGTGATGTTAAGAGGCGTGCAGTACTTTGCCTGTCTTATTCCCTCTAGTTTACAGGAATCACTTGTGCTTCCAAGGCGGTCAATCAAGAAACTTCCATGAATGCTAAGTCTGATTTCATTTTCTCTTTATACTTTCATAAAGTAGACCATCACAAGGGGCCCTTTCCACAATATCCGTAGACAGGGAACATTGAGTTTACTATAATAACACTACTTGTGACCTTCATGATGAAGTGTGTGTCACCACTTCCATTATTATAACCCCCATTTTTCAGAGGTTAATAACTTTGATGTAAAAATCTGCAGCTGTCTGAAGCTACACATAAAATCTCACATATATTCCCCTCCCTGCTTTCAGGTGCAGGTGGTTGTGAATAAAGACATCTACCCACCGCAGTGCTGATGCTGGACATTTAAGGAGGAGTGCCATTAAGGGAAAGTTGTAAGGGCCACCCCACAAAATCTCTTGTTTCAGGCATCAGGTGATCATTCTTCATGAACACAACCCTAGAAAGCTCACTAGCTCATCACACAGAGCAGAAGAAGGCCCCCAGCCAGTGTGGGGTAGTTGTTTGATGGTCAGGCTAGGACTAGGGAAGCCACTCAGCCATGAAGCTCACTTGGGCCAGTCACTCGCTCTCAGTCTAACCTACCTCACAGGGATGTTGTGGTAATAAAATTATTATTAATAATAATAATAATTTATTATTTGTACCCCACCCATCTGGCTCGGTTTGCCCAGCCACTCTGGGCGGCGTCCAACAAAGATTGAAAATGAATTAAAATGTCACACATTAAAAACTTCCCTGAACAGGGCTGCCTTCAGGTGTCTTCTAAATGTCAGGTAGTTGTTTATCTCTTTGACATCTGATGGGAGGGCGTTCCACGGGGCGGGCGCCACTACTGAGAAGGCCCTCTGCCTGGTTCCCTGCCAGCTCACTTCTTGCAGAGAGAGAACCAGTAGATGACCCTCGGATGACGACCTCAGTGTCCGGGCAGAACGATGTGGGTGGAGACGCTCCTTCAGGTATATTGGGCCGAGGCCATTCAGGGCTTTAAAGGTCAACACCAACACTTTGAATTGTGCTCGGAAATGTACTGGGAAGGGGGTGAGAACTATTTTCCTGCCACATAAAATTGAGCCAAAGATAGCATGTGCCCCTAAGACCACAGGTTGC